TATAATTTGATAGCTTAATCACAGATCAATCATGAAATTTTCAGGCAGATTTGCCTGGAAAACAGTTTAAGGGATAAGGCTAAATGGAATTAAATTTTGTATTCTATAATAAGTGATAATTAATTTACCCTTTTTTAACTCTGGTTAGTTCTCTTATTGAGATAATTAGTAATATGAAAATTTTATCTAAATAATTAAAAAAAACTTTAATTACAATACAATATATAAAAAAAATAGATTTATGCAAATTTAGTATCTAATAAATTACTTGTAAATATTTTTTTTACTTATACATCTATTATTACCAGTGTTTATCAAACAAAAATAAATATAATTATATACAAATCTAATCAAACTAATAAACTGTTAAATCAAAACAACTAAAAATTTTATCAAAAATTATATATATATTAAATTAAATTAATACAACTTAATTATTAATATTAACAAATAATTTATATAATATGATTTAATTTTTTTAATATGTTTTATTATAATTGCAAATATTTGATTTTTTTATAATATTAAAAGTATTATAAAATTAGTAGTTTTTTTAACCTTAAGCAGTTATGTTAATACTTTATTAAGATTTTTAAAACTATATATAGCCAATCTTCTATAAATATATTATTTAAAAATATAATAAAATATGCAGTTATAAAAGAATGTTTTTATAAAAAAAAAAGTTTTTATAATTGCATATAATACAAATATATTAGCTAATTATATTTTTATAATAACATATTTTTTCTTATAATATAAAATTAAATACTACTATAATATAATTTTTATTTTTAAATATTATTATATCAAATATTTTAAATATTAAAAAAAGTAATTAGAATTAAATTTATAATATTTAAATAGACAAATTTAATTACTAAAGTTTACAATATAAGAAATTTGAAACTGTATTCTTTTATTTCTTATTTTTAACAAAATATATTAAAAGATAAATTGTAATTAGAAATATAAAATAGCAAATTTAATAGTAGAAATTGTTAAAAATTAATATAGTTTCTTTATAAACTTGAAATATAGTTAACTTATAATAAAAAGTTTATAATATTAAACTTTAAGTTTTTAATATTAAACTTTAAGTTTTTAATAAAAATTATAAGCCAAGTTATTCTAATTCTAATAAATCATTATTCTCTTCTCTATAACTATATAATTTTTATATATTATTAGAACTTTTAGTATTTTAGTATTATACAAAAATAATAGTAATTATTTACTAATTTTTATTATAAAATTTATATTCTTTAACTGCTTAAATATTTAATTAATTAAATAAATTCTTATTATTTAATTAAATCTTTTAATATAACTTAGTCTTAATTTTAAAGTTTTATTATATTTAATTTTTCAATTTAATTAAATAAAATTAAAAAAAAAGATTAGTAAAAGAATTATTATACTTTTAAATAATCAAGTTATTTAAGCTTCAAAATAACTTAATAACTAGTTATTTGTTATATTAGTTATTTGAATTATTTATAATTCTTATATACTACAAATTACAATATATAAATAAGTTGTAATATATTATTATTATATTGGTAAATTGCTTCTAAAAAAATTATAACTATTTTAAACAATATTATAAATTTATCTGTAATTATGTAAATAAAAATTTATTATATAATTTAATTATAAATAAAAATTTATTATATAATTTAATTATAAATATATAATTTTTTTAATAATTATAAATAATTTTATTTATTAAAATTAATAAATTTGTAACTGCAGTTATTGTAACTATGATTAAGTAATTAATTGTATGTAATATATTAATAGTCAATTATATAGCTTGTGTTATATTTATAAGTAATAAATAAATTAAACTAGTTTTTATTTCTTATATTGTCAAACTGATTAAAACTGGTTCCAAATAAAGCAGGTTTACAACACTAGTACTAGGAATATTAAATAGCTCAGTTTAGTCAGTTTTCAAGTCAATTAAAGTCAAATCATTTAAAGCCAACTCTAAGTTAACTTCAGTAATATTTATCAAATTGAGAGCAATATGCATATTGATATCAATATATGTAGTAATTAAGTTCATTGTTATCTATCTTGATTTGTACAACTTCACATGATTAAAACTTAAGTTTAATTTGAATAAGCACTTTAATATTCCTAATTAGTACAAATGTACATACTACAAAGTAAAAACTAAACTTCTTTTTTTAGCAAAATTGTATGTTTATTATTCAAAGCCAAGATAATATGCATATACAAGATAAGCCAGTTCTTTTATTGCATATTGCATAATGTATATAGTAATTCATTTACTTTTTTTCTTTAATTCTTAACCTGATATTCAAATCTAAATAGATATCATAATAGATAATTCAATCTGATTGCAAAAAACTAAATTTGGTTAATATATAATAATAGTATATAACACAAAAACTAAAAACTTTAAAGCTAAGTACTGATTAGTTAATAAAATAACACTTGAATTATTAATGCAATTAACTATTAATTAGCTATTCTAATTCTATATTGATATATATTTACTGATTTTATATATATGCTAAAGATCTATAATACAAGTTTTAGCATAATGATTAGGCTGTTTACAGCAAGAGCAAAAATGTGTAGCTTCCTCTTTCTTGATATTTGATTGAATATTTTTTGTTTTAAGAGAACTTTTAATATGCTTAACTCTTAGTGCTTCTTTTTTTTTTTTAATCACTAGATCTTATATAGTAGATATATCAAATAGTAGGACATTTTCTTGATTATCTAAATCACTTAATTCATTATCTTAAATTTCACTTAAAGCAGTATTAGTGACCAAGTGTTGATTAGAATTCACAGAATATTGTTGAATAAAATTCTCTAGAAACTTATTAAATGATTGTATTGCTGCAGAGCTAGCATCCAATTCAACAGCCATAGCTTTTTTACAGAGACCATTCATAACTCCATATACATAATGATTGTTAAGTGTTTTTAATATAGTAAAAGAAAAATCAGAACCTGAATATATAAAATTAAAATCAGATATGAAGTTTAAAGTTGAAGTAGCACTTCTATTTTGATAAGTAATTAATAGTTGAAATATTAATAACTCGTCTAATTTTGAATAATGTTTATATAAATACCAATGTCATGAAATTATAAAAATATAAAACATTGCAATTTGTATAACTATCATAACTTTTACAAAATGACAACAAAAAAGACTCTAATTAATAAGTCTTAGTCATATACAAATATGGTTGCTATTGTTGAGTATAATAATATAATTTTTATGAAATGCCTAGTAATAAGTAATCTCCCAAAATTTTTAAATAGAAAAAGTAAATAGACTTAAAATAATTTCATTAATATTTGTTGTTAGAAAATCATCATGATTTTTATAAAAATCAATCTTATTTTTTTCTTGTAACAAACTAATATTAATCCTTTCTTTAAAAACTAATAGTGCATTGTACTAAAAAGCTTTTGCTATTTCAGTTCTCTGTAAAGATAAAATGAGTGATGTTAAAAATTCTGCAAGCTATTTGTCAACTTCAGGCAATAATTGTGCTGATGCAGTTATATTAGTAGGTTTAATATGAGCTGAAAACCAATTATTATATTGAATATACATTGATTCCTAAGCAAGTTAAGAGTTTAAAACTTTAACAAGTTTGAATAAACTTATTTTACTTGTTATATCAGATTTAATAATTACATTTATTCCTTTTACTCTTTGTGTAGACTGAACTCTAGCAGTAAATCTATCTGAAATCCAAGCTAATGTCTATTACTTTTTTGTACTATAAAGTGCTCATTTAAGATAAAGTTTTGTTGTTAAATATCTATTAATAAGCAATCTCTATTCAGATTCAAAATCTTGTTTTAACAAACTATTATGCATATTGTACTATTTTTTTATAAACTCATTCCAATTTGATCCAAGTTTACTTTTTAGATTTTTGGAGAGATTCTGACTAATATGATATATACAATTTATTCAATAAGTTTCAGGCATTATATTTTCAATAGTGGTTTTATTTGCAAAATCAGAACTAATAACAAGAACATATGATTGATAGCTAGTAGATTCCAAAAGCTTAAAAAGAACTTATTCAAAGCTTGTAGTAGTTTTGTTATTTATCAATGCTTGGGCAACAAAACGGGTTCTATTATAATTATTTATACACACAAAGAGACTAAGTGTCATATTAAAACAATTTGTACTATATGTATTATCATTCATAATAATATCATTATAATGAATCCATGTTTCAACTTAACTAGATTCTATTCAAAAAAGTAATTTTAATAAATTAGACATAGGATCTAATTGCCAATAAACAACCCAACTTGGGTTTTGTAATTTATTATTAAGAAATATTTCTAAAAGAGCAGATGCTTTATTAACAACTTTGTTATGCTTTTTAAAAGACTGTATTGTAGTTGACAAGTTTTTTGGCAAAAAAAGAACCTTAAAATATTTGTTTTTAAGTAAGAAAAGCTGAGTTTGCATATTTAACTCTTTTGAAGTATAATACTTAATCTCTTGTTTTACTTTGTTAGAAAATTGTTAATAGTAAAAAGCAAAATTAATAGTATCAGGATAGATTTCATAATTGAAATGCTCAAGGTTACAGAAAGTAATTTTAATTTTTTTAGTTGTTTTTAGACAAGTTGCATTGACTATCTATTTGCAGTTTAACTATTTTGTGTGAGATTGTTTTTAATTTTCTAGAATAACTGTTTTCTTTAAATAGCTTATGCCTTGGTATTTACAAGCATATTGACATCTTTTATAAGTGATTTCATCAAACTTAAAACAAGTAATAATTGATACAAAACTATTTTGTTTTGTATATATTCTAATATAATGATCAAGCTGTTTTCAATTTTGAAATACTAAGCTAGGAACAATCTCAAGTTTTTCATGATCTTCAAATTCAATGTTTTGTTGTTCATTTACATTAGATATATTATAATTAACAGAACCATTGTCTATATCATTAGTGTTTGATATATTAGATCCAAGTGAAGCACATTCTTGTTGTATAGAGTATATAGAAGAAACTTGTGAACTAGAAGTCATAATATTTTATCACTTAACATAGGTTGTGAACTTTGTTCAATAGAGTATATAGAAAGAACTTATAAATTAAAAGCTAGTAATATTTCATCATTCAGTAAACTATGTTCATTAGGATATATGGAAAGAGCTTGTAAACCAAAAATTGGTAGTGCTTTATTACTCAACATAGGCTGTAAACTTTTTTTATTAGGATAATCCAATGTATACTATAAATTTTGTTGTATTGGATATATGGAAGGAACTTGTAAACTAAAAGTAAATAATATCTCATTACTCAGCATAAGCTGTAAACTTTGTTGTATGAAATATATAAAAAGAACTTGTAAATCAGAAGCTGCTACTTTTTTGTTACTTAACATAGCCTAAAAATGTGATAAAAGGTATTTAGCAATAGTTAACCTTTTAGTAAAGCACATTCTTTATCAAAAATCATTTAACTTACAATTTTCTTCTTGAATACTTATAAATAACTATGAATGTGATAAAGCTAATATATTACAACTGTATAAATTTCTTAGGTTTTTGTGATGTGTTTTTGGTTGAGGTATTTACACTTTAAGTATTACTATTACAATTTGTTAAACTTTGATTGAACTATTAAGATTTTTTAAGAAAAGTATATATTCATGATTTTATTCTATTGTTATCTTCATTTGTTGTGATAAAAAGAACTAGATACAAGTTTATTTTCTTTTTATATATATATATACATTCTGATTATATCATCAATGTCATACATATATATACTACTATATACTTCACTATTATCGATTTTGCATGATGTCAATCATCTATATAATATTATTTATTATTACAAAATTTATATGTAACCTATGATTACAAATTAATTAATTCTAAATATAATTACTAAAGTTTAAATTTATATTATAGTTTTGTTCTAATATTTTCACTATAACACTTGTCAAGTATACTATTAAATAAATATATAATTAGTTATATATTAAAAGTAAAATTTATTGTTAAATTAATTTTTTTGAAAATTAATATCAAATACTTTTTTTTTTTTTTTTTTTTTTTTTTTTTGTTAAAGGTCATGCTTGTGGTGATACTTTATTAACTTTATATCAGGTTAGCTATTACAACTATTTTTACAAAAATAAGAGTATAGCTAGTTACACATGCAACTTTTAGTTGCCTATTTAAGTAGTCCGCTCTAAGGTTTTACACTAGATGCTGTACCTATAACCTACTAGAAGATTATTTATTTAAATCCTCTGATCATCTGCCCTGTTATATTGGAATTCCCAACTAACCTTCTATATATATCTACTCAATATACCATCTGAGCAGTATAGTACTTACCTTTTTTGTACTGGTTTTCAGGCCATTACACATTTTAGAATATGTCACCTGCCAGTAAGGTGCAGAAGGCCCCTTGTTGTTAACTATTTACCCACTTTTAGAACACTAATACGGGCTATCTTTACAGAGTTCACCCAGACCTTAGTACTGACTTTACAGCATATTCTTAGTACTTTTAGTATACCTCTGCTTTAAACTCAGACTTCCAATCCAGATAGCTCAGAAGGACTGTAACCTGTTCTTGGTATATTGAGACTGGCCTAATATCCTTTTTCTTCAGTCTGAAATCTGGTGACCTAGTTGGTGGTACCTCTTACCTGAGGTTCTTGTTTGCCCGAATCCTTCATATTGGTATCCATTTCCTAGGTCTAGCCTTTACAGTAGTACTGTTGAAGATCTGTATTACCTCTCTGCTTAGAATTTCCAAGTGGGCTTCAGCTTCCCAGTTCTACAGATTTATACAGCCTGAGAACTTATTTTAGGTTTGTACTACCTGTTACCAGTTTGCATTCCTCTGTGTAACAGAGTACACAGATGCTCCAGACCTGCCAGTCATGCTGGTGCGATCATAGTTACAGGTATTCTATTTCAACTAATTGACAGAATGCCATTGCCATAATACTATCTATATATTATATAGGTAATTATCCAAATTTTACCATCAGTAGGTTTTAAACTCACAACCTACCACTTGGGAGTATGACAACTTATCCACTTCACAAAGTTGCCACACTCTAATATCAAATACTTTAAATTATTTATATAGTAATTTAATAATACTAATAAAAAAATATATAATATATATAAAAATATAATCAAATAATTTAAGTTACTTGATCAGTTTAGAAATATCAAACTCAATTAAATAAATAAATTGAAATTGTTTTTTTTTTTTTGCTATTAAGGTGAGGTCATGCCCTCTAGTCTTTATTGATATATTCATTATAGTTAGTACAAATCTATTTATACATTATCTATCACTATATATCTATTTAGACATAGGACTCAGACATATTTATCTGTGGCCTAAACTTACCAGAGTTTTGTATTGTGTCCTACTCACACCTAACCTGAATTTTTGTTTCACTACTAATTATATTAGATAACCTGCATATTTCTTCTATGTTTTACAACCTATTTTAACAACTCCTAAATTGGTCCATCAGATCATTTGCTTCTTTTGAGCTATTATCTTTGGTTTGCCTAAAAGATGCTTCTCTAGCATATATCTCAAGTCAGGTTCCTGCTGCTACTGCTAACTTCCTAATTCAGGTACTAGTAGCATGTATCTTAAGCCAGATTCCTGCTGCTGCTGCTGGTTTGCAATTTTACTTGGTCTTAGCATCATGTCCAATAGATTGTGCATCTAATCTGCTTCTTAAGTACTTCTTTTTATAGTATAGATGAAACTCTATTTCAAAAATGAATACATATTCTCTTCTAGTCATAGACTAATATTTTCACTACTGACACAAAGTTCTAGAGGTTTTAACTTTCAATTTAGATATCTTAACCATGATTGGTACAGTATTTATATTGGTATGTTCCACTTGTTTTGCTATAAACTTTCATATAGGTGTGACTAGAGCTTTGGTTTAAAACCTTTAGATGTACAAAACAGGCTACAACTTCTCTATGCAGATGGCTACCTTCTATTCTTAGATGTTTCACAATGCCAAAGGTGCTTTTTATCTTGATAAGGCTAATTCTTTGTCACAAACCTTCTATGCATACACTGCTTCTTTTATCACTTCAGTTTATATTACCTTAGTATTATTCTTTCAATCAAGTACTCCACAAGTTAGATGCAGAAATGTTGGTACTGCTCTGTCTTCAAAGGACTTATATGCACAAACTATTGTGTAATATAACCTTCTGTAATGCCACTGTTACATGTAGTGTTCACACTTTGCAGAGTTAGTTTTCTTTTGTAAATTCCTTTTTCTATTATATACTATACTTGGACTTGACCACAGGGCTTCATGTTTAATTACAGGCTTCTTATAGGTTACAGAAACTAAAATCTTTCAATTTTGCCTTTAGCTAAACTTGAACTATTGATCTTGACTATAGGAGTATAAGAGCTTAACTATTAAGCTATGAGACCCACACCCTTAAATTAAAATAGTATTTAATATAAATAGTAATATTAGTAATTAATTTGTATTAACTAATTATTATTATTATTTTTTTAATATTAAAGTAAGTATTTGCAACTCAAATTTTTATTAATAATATTTTAAATTTGTAATTGTATTACAATAATCATAGAGAACAATTATAAAAAGAGTATACAAGTAGTTACTTATACAACTTTAGTTATTATTTAATTTAAATAGTCTGTTTAAAAATTTTATACTAGCTGCCATATCTAAAACCCACTTGTAAATTCTTTATTTAAACACTCTGGTTCTTATATTTATCTACTTATCTTTTTTATCAACTGTTTCAGCTTTTATTAATGCAAATATATCATGATTACTAAGTTTTTAAAGTAGTTCATTCATATAAAAAATCTTTGACTTTGTATTAAATCTATTAAACCTTCTGTTACTAATTTTTAACTAATCTAATAATATTATAATTAAGACTAATATTTGTAGTTATAATAACTTTTAAGTCACTATATTCCTATAGAATTTATACAATCTTAGTATTTCTTTTTCAATCTTATCAGTACTTTGTATGCTCTTGTAAGTTCTTTTATATTACCAATTTAGTTAGCTTTGTACAGTATAATGTAACTTTATATCTAGTTTAATTGATAACTATGTTAGTAGATCTTTTTTACTTAGGGTTTTTGTTTATACAGGTTACATGCTTCAGATTTCCATCTCTAAATAAAGATTTTCACAAATAGTAACATTAAAGACCATATTATCTTTCTATTCAAAATTCTTAAACAATGTTTTTTATAAAATATATATATTTCAGATTTATTTATATGATATTATATATTCTCAAAGTTAGTCTTAGTACAATCAAAATTACAGAAT